CTCTAGCTCTCCGCAATCTGCATACGTCGACAATATTATATTATTATTATTTTTAGTCGTCATAAAATCTAAAACTGTCATGGCGTCATAGAATTTTCAACAGAATAAGAAATAACATTGATATTGGTTCATWGTTATTTTCCTTCTCACATTTATAATAAATAAGGTAAACTACGCCTATTTATTAGTAAGTAATAAGATTAACCTGTTCAAACCTATCTTAACATGCATAACAATTTTGTCATTTTTGTCATAAGATAATTTTTAATGAACAAAAATGATTTTTTTTTTTCGTATTTAAATGTATGGTCATAAATCTTAAGTAAATATCTAATAAATATATTTAAATTTAAATGTTAGGGGTCCATAGTTGAAGGGGCCGATACTTTTGACCAGGACCATCTCTGGCACCGTTACTGTACACTCGATAGCAGGCTCAATTACCCAATTGTATTAAAATTATAATAACTCACTCACTTATTTACTAAAAACGTTATTATTTTTAAGACCTCAGCTGCTAAAAATAACAACAATAATAGTATATTATTTTAATAGGATAGGTACTTTTAAATTTGTAGCGCCTATTCAAATGTTAGATAGGCAAATTTACAGTCGCCTAGCTATTTTCCATTGCGTCTTGGAAAGATTAGCTTAAAAACATTAAATCGATAGTTGTRTACCAGTGTTGTCGGTGTGCCGACAATAAAAGTAGTTTTAAGTAGCTGAACAAAAAACACTGAACTTGTGTTTTGTTTATCGTGTCACTCGGTTCGTTTGCGGTATACATTATAGCTGGTACAGTGGTTTTCAGGATTGACTTTTTTTTTTATCTTCAAACAATTTTTGTTTTCGATTGATTTTATTAATTGTTAGGTTTCGACGGTCAATTCTATTATTTCCATCTGCGTTCTTTAGAGGCTTAGGGTAAATTCATTACTGTTAATTATATTTTCACGCTGCAGTTGGTTGCGTGTCCGATCAAGTACTTAAATATTCAGTGTTTTCAGGTGCTTTCGGAAATGGCCAGCCCCTCGCCAAGTTCGATGGGACCTCCGGGGCCTAACCATCAACCGCCGCCTCCGACACAACCACAACAACCACAACAACAACAACAGCAGCAACAACAACAACATCAACAACAACAGCACCAACAGCAGCAGCAACAACAACAACAACACCAACAACAACAGCCGCCTCAAGTTCAACAGCAACAGCCACCTACCGYTCCTCAGCCACTGCCKCCACAAAATTATTCTCCAGGCCAGTCGGGTGCGCCGGCATCTCCTAACATGCAGCAAGGCACACAAACATTTCCACCTCCAGGCATTCAAGTAGATACAAATTTCAATTACTCAGTACATGACCTCATTGAAAATAATAAATAATTTGTTTTACCTAAAACGTTTCCGTTAAAACCAATTGCCTAAAAGTATTTGAGAAATATTTCAAAGGCATTTAAATTATCTCTGTTTTTTTTCTCAAAATTGTTGAATACAAATTCAGTAGGTAGATAGTCAGTCTTATTTAAGTCATACCATTTAGGTTTTAGATCAAATTTAATTTTTTTTGTACCTGATTAATTCAATATATTAGGTATTATAACAACACGAAAGAAATAAAAAAAATATATTTTTATTTAACTCCATAATAACACATAGGGATCAAAGTAAAAGAGTAAATAAAACATGAATCAAAATTTACATTGATAACAAAATATGCTAGTGAAATATGTTCTTATACAGTCAAGCAACAGACAACACTGTTAAGAACCAGATAATGAACTTTAAATTGTACCCAATGTTAAAAATGTTTGTATGTAGACATGTAGTGATACTTCTCAATCTTTCTACTTGCATTACAAATTATAATACTAAAAATTCAAAATATTTCATTCTATAGATTGTAAGTGAGACAATTTAACCCGGGTTATCCCAACTGTAAGGTACCTAATACAATATTTAAAATACATTTAATTATGTGTGATATATTTTAATGCTGTATACTTACAGTTAACTTAAAAGCATTTTATCTAAAATGATTTGCTCTGTCCCACGAGAAAACAGGCCAGGTTTGCACAATGTAGAATAAACTATGCTGGCCGACTAGGCTGTCAAATCTCCATGCATGTTTATATAGGCTACTGGTAAAATCTACCTACACCGTTATGACCAGTCAATTAGTAAAGATTTTGGTGAAGGACAGAATCAACTAATCTTCGCACGGGGCACAGTATATTCTCTCGTGGGACAGAGTTTAGGAGTTAACAAATGATAATCAATATACAAATCTTTAAAAATCCTTTAAAACTTGGATAGCTTTTAGTATTGGTTAATTATACTAATAGATAAATTACATATTTAGTTAATGCCTTTAGCAGATAGTAATATGATATTTCTATCAATATTATAGATGTAATGGCGATTACAACATCCCTTAATTATGTACAGCAAGTAATTTATAGTGATTCCTATAAATATTTTCTTTACATTTGACAATATACCTTAATCTTTACACTATATTTTGAAATATGACTAAAATTTTAATCCTAACTCATATAGTTAGCTATAGCTCTTAAGATTACCTTTAAAATGACAAGTTTGATGTAAMAAATCAAATAATTACAAATAATATATATTTTATCACCACAAATCATTAAAATTTTTCATTTATTAATTTGAAAAAATTTTCAGCTAGCTTTTCTGTACATGTAGCTGTAATATTGGCATTCATAATGTCTTTGTATTGACCTCCTAAGAAAAATATTTTAGATGTATATTATTATAAACTAAACAATTGTATTTTTACTAGAGTTTTTACCTTCTAAATTAAGTACAATGCCTCCAGCTTCTCTGATAATTAGAATTCCTGCTGCTACATCCCAACATTTCAATCCTTTCATACTACATATATCTACTGCTCCCATTGCCAAATAGCATAAACTCATTGCTGCTGATCCTAAAGATCTCAGTCTATAAAGTGTAATGTGTTTAATGTTAATACAATATTGCAAAATCTTAATATTTCAAATTTAAAAAGAAATTTGAATTATTTGAGTACTAGTAAAACAATTGAATATAATTTAAACAATATTTTTCAATGAAAAATTTTAAATAATGATATTAAAAACTGTAGAAATAAAACAAAATTTTGTTAATTTAAATAGATTAGTTACTAAATAAGTTCAGTTAATTGGCATAGCCAGG